GACTATTTTGTGTCCTAAATACCAAGAGGCTCGGTGACCGATTGCATAAATCCCACTCCACTCCACCCCGCCCCCCCCCTCGGTTCCCGCATATAAAATTGTTTGAGCAACAAAATGCGTTTATCGATGAATAGTCAACGCGATCGCACAGAAACGGTCAACTTTTTGATGACCGACATACCACGGAAACCCGTGTTGTCACGTCTCATGTGTCTATATCGATTGTTTTTCTTGGTCGCTTAGCATCATTACAGTTCAACTCAGAGCGAGAAAGAGAGAAATTGTGCGTTGATAACTTATTTCAACTCTGCTAAAGATTTCCAAGGATTCAAACAAAACACGTGGTTAGTCCTTGTTGGAATTGCAATAATCGATCGTACACTACTGATCCGGCAAACCGAAGCCTCGATGCATTGTGATCGTAAAGTAATGATTAATGTTCAAATGGTAGTTTGGTCGAGTGAGGTTTTATATTCAAATCGTGAAAAGCCCAGCAGCCTCGGTGGGACTGGAGCGCACGCGTGGACGCCACCTGTACTTCTGTACAGCGCAAACTCTACCAGCTGAGCTAAGAAACTACACCGATCGCACGTATCTTTTCACATTCGAATCACCCATCCACCCGGTAGCATGTAAGCCGACTGCCACGACAGGTTTTTCTTTGAATTCACTGGAGTCCATCAAATGAAAATTCAAGGCAATGTTAACTGTTCAACTAGTTGTTTGGTAGACGGGAATCTTATATTGGTTGAATCTGAATGTGCCCTTGGAGTGGTAGTAGCAGTGTTGTGAGGTACCACTCACATTTATGAGTAGTATCTTAATAACGCGGTTGGTGGTTGCTTTCAAGAGTCAAAGATGCACAAGATCTCGCAGGGTGAACTGCTGTGTTCAAAACGATAACTACGTACTGTTTGATTCATTATCCTGTGTGCTGCTGGGAATTCTGTTGCCATGTTCAAATGAGACATCTTGTCATATATTTATCTCAAATTATTCACACCCTAACCGTGATTCGTAATAAATAGTCCTCCTCAAGGTGGTAGGTACTAGTAGTAGTAGTGTTAGTAGTAGTAGTGGGGGACTATTGATCCGTATAGATTATCGTTGATGGTGCTAGCCGATTTTCAATGTCCTCGGTTTGAACTCCCGCATTGGAAACAGACAGTAGACAGTTATACTACTTCCTTATCTCTGTGCTCATACCATACTCACATAACTGACCGCTGCGATTTCCGGAATTCCGGATTTCTGTGACCTCACCGTGGGTAGTTGCAACTTTGTAATTCAATTATTTTATCCCCAAAAGGTATTTTTTGAAGTAGTATCGCTGACGCAGGACTGGACAAGTTTAAAACGGAACCGTTATACGTGTATACAGCATGTTCGCGCAGTCCGATAATCCACAGTGGAAATCATTACGTGTGGCCAGACGAACATGGTCAGTAAAGTAAACTGTACCCAAGAGATCAATTTGCTAAGCATAACGTAGTCAACTTCAAGACCTTGAGTACTCCCTTCGGAAGAGCTTTAGCACGTATTGAATTTCTGCGCACAAGCCTTGCTTAGCGACAAGCAGGCCAATGAGGGGGAACTACGAAAGGTTCATTGAAACAGATGACAGATATTTTGCCTTACTTGTAAGAGATGTTATCTTTAAACGACTATCTCCTTCCAATCTTTGGGGTTCTCGTCAATTTTTTTCGGACATTCAATTGCAACTTTCAAAGCAGTGCGGTTGTTCCAAACATGTTATTAGCGGTTATTTTGATTTGTCTGACTTCACTGAATAATCTTGTCTATTAGATGAGAGGATCAAAGCAGTCATAGTCTTGTCGACGGATCGCGGACTCGTTGAGTCAAGCTAACGCCACCCAATTTCTTTGGAATTCGGTTGTTTAACAAGCACAGAGCCACCTGGCTCTGGTTCACTGGAGTACTGCTCGGTCTTGGCTGCTTAATTAGTGAATCCTGGAGCGTCTTATTCACGACCGACCATCAAGTTAGTGTCCGCTTCTCCATCCAAGTGCCAACTAGTGAAGATTCATGTCCTTATTCGCAATCGCTTCACTTCATTCCGGCTACATTTGGTTCGAGTGACATTCCAAACTTCACTCGGGCTGTTTGATAAACGGGGTGGTACACCTCTAGCCTGTACACAGCCAAGTGTGTCCTACACGTGCATTCTGATCGGCTTTCTGGTCTTTGAATCAAGACGGTAAACTCGTCCGTCTGGACAATGGGAACTGTTTCACATGCTTAGCACAAGCAGCAACTCAACGAGTTTGAAGAATATGGCTTGGTTTAACCCGGCTACCAAGGAATTACCGGGATGTTGTCATTGAAAGAGGCAAAAACGAAATCATGGAGCCATATATGAATGGAAAAGTGTGAACGTAAGAAAAGGAACTGTTTTGCAGGAAAATATCAGCTTCCTGAGGAAATGGTGCAAACACTACTGAAGCTCTCTAAACACGCTAGTAGTGAACAACGATCAGTGAAAAATCAACAAAAAGTCCATATTTAATATGTGCCTGAGACGTCATCAGTGGTAACCCTTATATAGGAGTACGCGATGACTGATACTGATATACCACCATCTCGCCTGAAGCACATATTTTTGCACTAGGATTAATCTTTTCTGATCCTAACTGTTTCAACGAATTTATAGGCAACCTTGATGAAGATAACTCATTTAGGTCATGATGATTGCAAAATTCGAAAGTTTCAAAACAATTTTGGGACTGGTTTGAACAGTGTGGACTATAAGACAGTGAACACTGTCCGTTAGAACTGCCTCTTGAAACGATAAAATGAATGCTTTGTACAGCAAACGATCTTGTAAATAAGAATGAATATCACTCAAATATGTAATTATCTGTGATTACTCTGTCAATTGAGATCTGTACTCAGCAGAATATTGCAGGGAGCTGTGGTTAAAATTACTCATTGAACGGATGAGCCATACCTGGCTCGGATCAATAAATCAATATTATTTCCAGTTCCGACTGTATGCGTCTCTTGGTGAACGGTACTTTTTCTCTGTTTAAACTCACATGCCTATTTTATGCTTTGTAATTGATCGGGTAAACTTCAGTCGTTATTGATTCGATGCTCCATGAGAGTTTCTCCTCTTCTTTACACGTGAATAAATAGATGCTCGGAAAAAATTACCCGGTACTATAGAACTATATTTTGATCGATTTTTGGTCAATTCACTCAGTTTAAAACTGAGTCTAATATAGCTAATTTCATAGCCATATATTTTTTTGGCGTGTTTATTCTGCCAGTTCGAAGATTTTGTCTTATATTTGTTTTAAATGATCGTTTTTGTTTGATCCATTGTGTTACACAAAAATTTGGCCAGGCAACGTTCTTTGTTGATGTCGTGGTCTCGATCTACCACGGATGAACATAAGAAGACATTTTTTGAGCACGGATGCATTTTTATGAACAAAAATTGGTATCACCTGGTATTCCGCCCAGTGGTATTTGCTATATAAACGTTTTTTCCTAAATCCCTCTGGTATCTTTCATTATACGGAAGTGTGTGTGTGTGTGTAGTTGTTTATGTTCGAATGTGGTTCGCTCATTCACATGTCTGTCTGTCGTGGAACAGATTGATGATGTAATAAGTTATTTATTCCTATTCGGTTAAAATAGCGAAAACCTCTTGTGATTCTGGATCGAATCCTTCTCGGAGAACAGTCGAAGCCAGAAGTATGAACACGGAAAACAGCTCTGTGAGAGGCAGTTCTTTGCGCACTTCCGCCGACCTGTCCACTCCGACCACATCCAGCTCGTATCCCACATTTTCAATCGCCTCAACTCCGACTTCGTGCGGAGCCAATAGTCCCTCAGGACCACTTAAAGGAGTAACTGCCGAGGAACTACAGACACAGCGGTTTTTGGCCAATGTACGCGAAAGACAACGTACACAATCATTGAATCAGGCGTTCGCGGAACTCAGACGTATCATTCCAACTCTACCGTCCGATAAATTGAGCAAAATTCAAACGCTGAAGCTGGCCACAAGGTTAGTTAACTTTTTGAGCCACAAATTATATACATATATATATATGTTGTCCTTGATAAAAAGGATTTATTGGTTTCTATCGTGTGAAACGCGCCACAGTTTTGTCTTAAATGTTCTAAAAAAAGATGAAATATTACGTGCACGGATATCAGGAGCGCATAATCCTCATTATTCAGTGGTTGATTTTTAATACTGAACTACGTTGTTGATAACCGAAAAGCGCATAAACCCGCAGCATCAACGTTTCACCCAACGTGAACCCTGTCGTGGCTTGTGATATGCCCAAGTTGTCTGTGAGGGGTGGGTAGGTGGGAGCAGAAATTTCGTCAGTTTTATCACATGACTACCGGACCCCGTTGGCTGTTCTGTAAGAAAATTCTACGTGCCTTTCATGGATGGTGAGGTCATTTATACGAGCACAAACCCTGATAAGGCGTGGGAAGTGGAACAGGTTTCAATCGGAAGAGGCTTTTGATTTGTGATTTATGCTCTAATGACTAAGTTGGATGGACCAGAAAAACTGGAGCAAGCGAGAAAGAGAGAGAGAGAGTAGTGTGCAAATCAATGGTGATCTGAATCACCGTGAATTGTTCCCGTTCTGTTGTGATCCCCAACTTCTTTCTCATGCGATCCAGGTATTCACAGACGAAACAAATCTCAAGTTTATGTGTTTCGAAACACACAGCATCACCAAGTCGTACGAAGAAATTGGTGTAAGCAGAAATCAGAGGTGTTTGGAGAACCCGAAAAAGTCGGTCTGTGGAAGGGAATGCTAGACGCAAGGACATGAAACTCCGAGAGGTGCAAATGTAAATAGTGTGGCAAAACGGTGGAACAAGTCAACCAATTCAAACTGATCCATACTCCAATTGAGCTCCTGTCTATCAGGAACAACTAAGGACTTCAAAAAGGATAACTAGTGTCAGCTTATATGCCTACATTTGCATCAATGACGAAAAAGGCAGATCAACGAAAGGAGTGTCTATGTTCTAGAATTTGGCGTAGAGTGAAAATGTGGTTGACACAACCTCGATCAGACCCTATGCACTCTTTACGTGCGATAGAAAATGAATAAACTATGATCCTAGCGAGAAGTTTCGAGATAATGTTGATTAAACTATTTCTTCTGTGGATTTCACAAGACGATCTATTATCTTTCTCATGAACCACACCATGCAGTTAGAACTGAAACTTAAAAAGAGCTAACTGAAGTGCCAACGGTGATAGTTTAGTTAACATACAAAAGTTGTGCTCATATACAAGTATAGTAAGAATTGAAAACATAGTTTACCCCTGACAATTTTGAATAGAGAAGCTAAAAATGCAGTTTTGCACAAATGTATCCTCTGGATCATTTCATTGCATCTGTACACGTGCACATACTGCAGTGATGATTAATATATGGTCAGTAAATAACAGAATCATAGGCGAGGACAGATTGCGGTCAAAATTATTCACCAAACACATTTGTCACGAAGTTAGGGCCATAGTGATAAGTCATTCACACTCTTTACACATATGGGGATGGTAATTTTAAATAATGCCTAGTTCCTCGGCGTAGTTCAGAATCTTTGTGTTGTTTGCATTGTAGAGAATTCTGAACACGTCGCGCAGCATGACACAGTGTTTCATTTCAACCAGGTGTTCTGTGATCCACGAACTGATTTTCCTACGGGTCATTAGTTACCTCATAATTCCGAAGTTCCCACTCATTGTTTTCTGAAGCCAGACCGAGATGTGCTCGCTTGCCCGATAACTCAGTTGTCTCTCCGTTCTGCCGATTTAGATGGCCGAGCATCCACACTTAAACTGATAGATACAATTAGATTTGGCGTGGGGAGATGGCAGTTGTTTCACCGATGGTATTGGCAACCGGAAAGTTGTAAAAACAACGGTGGGACTAGATGCGTAGTAGGAGCGCTTAACGGCCGATGATTCTGTTATTTACTGACCATATATTAATGATCACATAAACTACAGTATGCACGTGTGTACATATGCAGCGAACTGATCCAGGGGGGATACATGGTGCAAACCTGTGTTTTTGGCTTCTCTATTCAAAATTAGGAATTGAAATGTGGTAGGAACTGTACAGTTGAAACGTCTGAACAATTAGCAAAGACCATAGAGACCATCGAAGCAACGGACTTTGTACAATGTTACTGAACTCAGTTAGATGAATATTTCATCGACAGTTAGGAAAATAGAGCCTGAAATAACGTCAGAATAAATGCTGAACGAACGGACTGGATCATCTAAACGGGAATGATCGATGCGACTTTTTGCAATAGAAGGAGTCTGAGTGGTACTCCAAACCGAAAGAGGATCACAATGCTGAAAATAACAAGCACCAGAAGATCAAGTTATCACCGGTTCAGGAAAAAAGGCACTTGGGTCCGTCGCTTACACTTCGATTCACCAAATATTTTTTGGGAAGTTCTCACCGAACAAAAACCAGTTCAAATTCATCGTGGATTCATTCATTTATATTCACTTGTTTTCGGGTCGATGGTTTTGATTTATTGTCCATTACTCATGTAGTTGTCGTGCTGGAAAGCCAATAAGGATTGAGACATTGTGAACGTTGTTTATAAAATCAATGAACCATTGAATTCGGTCCGATATCGGAACAGGTGTGCTAATGGATAAAAAGAATAGCAGTTTTTCTTGGCCCCGCTGAATTTCGATATTTTCAGACGAGTATCCTATTCCGATCAACCCTCTGTGTAATAAATCCAATAAGTCCAACATCCATGGACAATCCTGATACACGAGATATCAAATGTGTGTATTATCCATGAATTAAATTATATTTGTGCAACAAATTGCACGTTCTATCATCGACTGTTTCATATAATCGTGACCAAACGAACGGAATTGTAATTACACAAAGTGGCTTCCACGTGACCAAGAAGCACACTAAGAGTTTAGCAGTAGTCGAAGACTGGCATAAACTACACTGTATGAGGGGGTCTGATTAAGGTTTTCAGAGTGCTGGTCTGTGAATTCGGATGGCCGCCTGGCTCCCAAAGCCTCGAAAGAAAGTGACTGATTCTCCTTTCGTAGGGGAATATTTGGTCCGAAGATATCGTATTATGCTGTTGAATATTAAATACTTGGTCCGCGATATGTTTACGAACATTTTATCCGGCTATGTCAATCTCGGATTTTCAATGGATGCCAAATTTAAAATGCTCACTTGCAGCGCATAAATGTAATGTATGGGTTGTTCAGTGAGATGGATATAAACAGTCAGACAGCGAGTTGGATACATCCAAATCGAAATATGTATGAGATTCACAGAAACTACGTATATATGCTGAACCATTTTCCAGACATTATTGCATAACAATAAGCCAATGAAATTTCCAAAGCGTGCCACATTTATGCAAAGTCAAACCGAGTGTTGGTCTACCGGGTAACATAAGTGAAAACCCTGAAATTCCCTGTTGCAGTAGAAAAAAGAAGCGCAAAATAACAGCGTTTCCGGAAGTCTTAACGAAACTATGTGAGGAATACACATTAGTAGGATTGATGCATTCGGCACCAAAGATATCTCGTTTGTTTTAGTGTTTGAACTTTAAAAATGGCATATCTATTTCATACAGGAGAGCATCTGTTTGGACTGTTCTAGGGCCGAGAACCGGAAACCCAATGTCCAGGACTAGTGTAACGGGGAGCGGGAGGGAGAGGTTAATTATCCGTGCAACCTACTTAAAAAGTTAACAACCTGATGCACCGAAGGTTTACATACTCCAAAGCCTGATTCTCTCCCACGANACGAAGCCGATAACCGTGTCCCATAAAGGTGTGTTTGCATGACATTATTCCATCAAGCGTAACCAGCGAACTGATACTGCCTGAGAGAAGAGAACGATTTGGTTTGTTTAACTGGTGCACTTTGTCGTGTGAAGAACAATTGAGACGTGAACTGATGATCTAGGAAGCATTTTACTGAACAGCTATTTCGACCGGGTTGCGTCTCATCCGAGCAGTGGGTGACTCGACTTGGGCTCGAACCCGAACGCAAGCGTACTATCCACTTGACTACCAGGCAGCTGAGGAGACCGTTGTTCATTTTCCTTATACTTACACGCTATGGCACAACTCATCGAGCTTATTGAAAGCTTCACAGCATTAGCATTCTAGGTTGTGACTCTGTTGGAGACATTCTAACCCGGTTACTTTTTCTAATGCACGCGTAAAGACAAGTGTGTAGACAAAAATTTTGGATATTTGGGTACCCAAGTGTTAGACCGCCTTGAGAAATGACCTTACAAGTCCCTTAACCGAGTGTATAGGCACTGATGGCAGAAAGAATCTGTTCCCACTCTTGACCACTGTCACCGACGAAGCACAACCGATGACAAAAATTGATTCATCTTCGTAGCGGTGATTGCTATGTTGACAGAAGCAAACAGTTGTGGGATTGCTACTGCCCCGGGGACGTGACAGAATGTTCCACTTTGTATGTGATCACTCTCTCACACACAAATGTACAGTCAACTTTCAGAAACGGGGTCGTGGTCAGTCCAAGGCTGCTTGGGGAAGTACAGAAATGGGTAAGATAGGCGGCGGCGACGGTGATGGAAGGGTTCAAACTCAGAACTTTCAGTTCTCTATTTCGGTGACATCAACCACCTTAACTACACATTTCACTATTTCTCATTCTCTCTTGTGTCCAGTGGATCAAGATTACGTCATTATCTCAATGATGCACAAATACCTTTCTCCCCACTTCAATATTCTTATATGACTACGCGACTATGTGAACGAAACGTCTAAAAGTAGGATATCTATGACACGTTTGAATGTAACTGGTAAACTTTTTCAAATTACGTCTTATGAACCACTGTTTACAGATGTTTGCGCTCAACTTTATCACCGAGAAAAGTTTGCCACCATAGAAAACATTAAGGACAGAACTATACGCATTATATAACTAATGAAAATGGTTAAACTCAAACGAAATTTATCTCTTCATTTCCTGTGATTTGCAGATATATTGATTTCCTATCCCAAGTTCTTCGTGTCTCTTCCGGAAGGGAAGAACTAGGTTCCAGTGTTCCCGATATGTCTCCGAATTCGAACGATTTGTACACGGTCGGATCTTATTTGAACGGCACTTCCCTAAGTTGGACCGGAAGTGTAGAAGCTGGTGTATCCGCCCCGAACCTGGACCCGGTGACCATGGATCCGTATTTGTCAGACTGTGCTAATCGAACCATGGTGTTTGATACACCATCACGCCCGGTGGACTTGGATCGATCCAACTGTTCGTTGTGTGTGCTCCCCAACTGTTCCACAGACGTTACTGTGACAGACAACGGTTGTCCTGGTATAGAATATGTCCCGGTGAATTCGGACGGGTCTGTGCACAATCCGTGCGTGGAACCAATGCGAACCGGACTTAGTTATGCATTTTCAGTCTGGCGCATGGAAGGTGCATGGAACACCACGGTGACAGAGTCTAATCAGCGAACCAAGCCAACCAATCAGAATGGGTCTGTGGAACAGTGACAAGGAGAACGCATAACTCCTTCTCCTCCTCCTGCTTGCTCCCGTTGGACCAATTGACCAATGACCAATGAAAAAATGCAATCCTCTTTTTCATTGCCTACCTCCTCCCCTCCCATTTCCCCTTTCCCTCCGTTCATTTTGATCTGTCATGTGATTTTATGCGATTGCATAATAAATAAACGGTCTTTGCCTAGCCCCTTACTGGCTTCATTTTGGTTTGTCGGTGGATTACGTTTACTGATTTACTGCTCTATCTCCTCACCTGTCAGCTGTGGGGTGGAAATGGGTTCCCTATTACAGCATCTTGAGATTTTCATTTATTTATATTCGTCATGTAATTAGTGGATGTTAGTGTCAGTACAAAATCACAAGTGCTAAAATGATTTGCCGAACAAACAAAACCTGAACTAGCTCGCTTGTGTTTCAATCGTCGTCCAAGCAACCGAATATCATAGCCAGTATTCCTTACAAACACACCCCAAACGTGAGCATATCTCGTTCGAAATGATTTCACTCTCTTTCTGTCATTCACTATCATTTCGATTGGCGTTCGATTCAACCCAATAACTGCCCGGTTGAATGTGAACGACCGTTGTGGTAGAGGATCATCAAATCCTTGTCAATCGGTTTCGAAACACCCATTACTCAAGTTCCGCGAAACATTCTCGTGATCCGGTCCACTGTGAATGTATCATTCACGCACTATTCACTGATAATCAGGGGGCATGTGCCCCTTTCAAATTGTTATTTGGTAGATGGAAATTTTTTATGTTGGGATTGTGAAAAGTTTAGTGAGGCACCGGTGGGATTCGAACCCACGCACGGACGCCGCCTACGCTCCTGCACAACGCACGCTCCCCACCAGCTGATCTATGGGGCCACACGGTTGGAACTGATCTTTTCAAATTCAAATTTACCCATTCAACTTACAGGGGGCATATTACATCCACCAGTTAGCATGGTAGCTGACTGCCCGGACAGACTTTTCGTGAAATTCACCGGAGTACACCGAATGAATATCTAAGCTAAGGTTAATTGTGCAAATGGTTGTTGGGTAGACGTGACTTCAGTCTCACAGATGAGCGCGGCAGTCAAGGAGGAAGCAGAAGCTCGATTGTAGACTGAAAGGAAGCAGACCCATTGCTTCTGATCGTATTACTGTGTATTCCGGTTGTGCATAAATAATACTTTCACGAATACTGAAACGAATTAATGTGTGCACGCTCAAATACAGAATCATTTATCGATTCTCAATTGAAAAATCAAATTTTTTTTACTGATTTCAACCGTCCGTGGCAGTTTGTTCAATTGTTTTAAAAAATCTTCAGTAGGTTTTTGGTATGAATAAACTTCCATTTCACACTGTTACTGTAGTAATTGTAGTGATGGTAATACGTACTGAACACAAAATACGAATCACAGAATACGAATCACGGGTTAGCAATCACGGATGGCCGGGATCACATTGGTACTTGTACACAATATCCCACGTAATCACGCCCTAGGCTGACGTCACCCGTGAAACTTGGTTGATCACAGTTGTCTGAAGATTGTAACGTGTGGCTCCACGGTATGCGTCATCTCGCAGGCCGGGATTACCGCAGTCAAAAATGGCAATCATGCACGTCACGTGTGAGGTTGCATTCGAAATGGGTTTTGTGTCTACTTTGCGCCAGCTAATAAATCGGTTCGTTTCATTCTAACGATTTGGGGGCAAATGTACTTACTTTTCTATGGCAATATTCATAATACACCGATTCAGTGCGATAAAACATGGATTTCAGACAATTTAAATTACACGCGGTGAGGTCTGGTGATAGTCAGTTGCTCCATCATTTTATATAGGATCACACTTGATTGAAACTCTTGGTCTCCTCTCGAGTACCAGATTCCAAAGTCCCGATTCACTCTATTTCACCCGTTCGTCGAGCTTGGCGATTTGTTTGCAAACGTTTCATCACGGGCCAGAGGTAACCTAGTCAGTGTTTGTGGAATGGTCATGTTCTGCTTGTACCCGTTCGTTAACGGGAACTGATTTTCAGTACTTTGTCAACAGCCCCAATTCATCATATATAGGGTCGGAGCAACGAAACACCGTGCTATAAAGTTTAGGACGAGACAGTAGTAGTGGTCAATAGTGCTCGGAATCAATAACTCTCGGGGGCCAAGGAGGTCAACTCGTCAGATAGGTGACTCCCCTCCCCCCACCTGCTCAGTTCGAATCGCACTGTTCTCGATTCCGGATAAGGATAAAACGTCCGAAAATTGATTGGAAGCTTGGAAGCACAGTCACTCCACTCGTTTTGTTCAAAAAACAACAGCTTTACAATAACAAATAACCATACCCTCAAGTCGTTGATCGCCGAACTTGTGGTCCAGGGGTAGGAGCTTCCGGTCCAAACTCGGAGGTTCCCGGTCCGAGTCCTGGTAGGAAAGCGAACGTAGTGCAAACTGGCTATGAGTCCGAACAATGAGTTATCAGGCCTCAGAGTTAGCTGTTTAGTTCGCTGTTAAACTGCTGCGAGGTGAACTGAACAGTGAGAATAAGGGACAAAAACAGTCGGCGGGGAAGACTAGATATATAAACGTCACAAACACTGATGATGTCACCTCGGCTGGTGAGTAAACGTTTGTAAGCTCGGCGAACAGGCGCAGTTCACCCGAGCTACGGGAACCAATTTTCAATATTTGTCAACAGTTTCCCATATAATGTACAGAAGGACCCCAGTCATTCGCTCAATCCCGATTTATCTGCTTGCCGTTCCCACGCGCTACAACTCGATCCAATTTTCGTTGATAACCCGCTCGCATAAACAATTATCGCAATTCAACAGTACCCTAGCGAGCTTATTGCAGACCCTCGGACCTAGTTCATCTCAGCACTAACCTCTTGGGGTTATGATTCAGTTGGAAACAATCACAATTTCACTAATTGTTTCACATGACTAAAGGAGGATTTGATTCAATTTCACAGGGGGAAATTTGTCATGTATGCACAAAATGAAGCGTGAACTGAAAAGCTCGGAAGCACTGAGCGGCAGTTTCAACCTGGTGGGGTCTCATCAGTGCGGTGTGATCGGCTGATCATCTGTCCCGGGGTGGTCGAGTTGGTAGCATCCGTGCGTTCTGCCTGTGAAGTCCCGAATCCGATCCCCAGTTGGGTCGATGGATTCGCACACTGCACTGATGAGACCCCACCAGGTCGAAACTGCCGCTCAGTGCTTCCGAGCTTTTCAGTTCACGCTTCACTTTGTGCATACATGACAAATTTCCCCTGTGAAACTGAATCAAATCCTCTTTTAGTCATGTGAAACAATTAGTGAAATTGTGATTGTTTCCAACCGAATCATAAGCCCGGAGGCCAGTACTGGGATAAACTAGGTCCGTGGCCGGCAAAAAGCTCGCGAAAATTGGTTGTGCTATATCGTGTAAATGGAAAACGAAAACCGATATGATCATTGTTATATATGAATTTCTCTCAATTTTGATCTCTTTGTATCGGTGTTCACGTTTTTTGACTAATACGTAAGCAAAGCCACTTGCACAAATCACTATAATACAATGCAATACAATTTAGCCGGGTAACAACAAACTTGTCGGTTTGGGTGTGCTGTCCTCGGTTTCTAGGGCTCAAACCACACCAGTACCAGTGACCCAAACCACTTGATCCCAGCTATCTAGTCCGTGAAATATTGATTATCTCAAGAATTGCTGGCATCGAGCAAACAATGCGCATTCCACCATCGTGACTATGTAATAATATAATCTGTAAGTAAATATGCTTTTTTGTCTCTTGTACGCGAAATGTAGGCGCTTAATAACAGGTCTCGTTCAAATGGAACTAATACACGGCAGCAACTCATCGTCATGTTTGTCTGTNGGGCCACATAAGTTTCGCAAAACCGGCATTTGCATGTATCGCGGAGCACAATCACCCGTGGTTACAGTCTTTAGTGAATGCAGCTACTGTACGACAGAATGTAAGTATACTAGACAAACTAGCAAATATAGACTGCTGTGAGCTACTGGTAAATCTGATAACAACCAGGTGGGTCCACATTTTACCTCATAGACTAGCTGATCAATAAAAACCTTCGATCTGTCAACGATGGAATATCTGTCTCGGACACTACAAAAATAACCTTTAACACAAAACAATTATTTTACATTCGAAGTCAACGCTCCGCATTTTTTGAAATATTTCTTGTATGGGCTTTAACAAATTTAACCATAGGATGTTCACCAAATGATTTCGAACCATCAATAGCAGTTTAACGGTGAAATGCTCTCATGAGATTGCGAGAACTTTCTGTTATTCAAAATGATCTTCAAATTGATATGCCGCTAGCTGGTTGGCATAACTACGGGTTTTTAAATTTCTCATAGACAGAGATCAGCCGTAACCATTTGCCGCATCCTTTTATCTATGTGATATAGTCGATTTGCTTTTCACATGCGTAGTGAGATCCCTTATGTCCTCCTCCCCCTCCCCCAAAACAAAACAAGATAACTAAGCAACTGACTGTACAGAACGTTGTTGTGCGATAATGAAACACAAAAAATACTGAAATAAAATTTTAGTATTTCAGGGTTATTGAAAGCAACAACGGGAGCAATAGTTGCCCGAAACCAGACATGGAATTTGCAAATCGGAGATCTAGTTTTTTTTTCATCATCATCATTTCGGCAAATTTGTATCATAATAATTGCGTTCGCAGGTCCGGGACAATCAGTGACAGTGTTCAACTATGCGAGGTGTTCGCTGCAATCCCACTAAAAGTTCTCGAGGCTTGGCGATGTTCAAACAACTCAATCAACAGGTACATCGAGTTGGATCACATGTACACGCCAATGCAGTCCAAGGATCAGATGACGCAACAAAAAGGTCACACCGGGACCTGAAAACGGATCGAAGCCGTAATCAGGGCGGAAGGACAAACCCCTCTCACCCTCACCCCCAGCGCACCAGTTTAACGGCGAACCGAGTCGAACACAGTGAG